AACCCTTGGCTTGGTGTCGCCCACACCGCGCTCAGCCAGTGAGCGCACTGGCCATCCCTATATAGGATCCGAACCCTCAGCGGGAGTGCCGCTGTGCACCCAAGCGCCGCAGTCTCCTGAGTGCGCCACGGGGTTGGCCCCAACTTCAGTCTTGTGTGTGTGGCTATCCAGTTTCCCAGCACCATTTGTTGAAAGGACTATTCTTTCCTCATTAATTGATCTTGGCTCCCTTGGTTGAAAATCAGTTGGCCATAAATGCAAGAATATATTTCTAGACTCTTAATTCTATTCCACTGATCTATATGTCTACCCTTAGGCCAGTACCACACTGTAGCTTTGTGGTTAGCTTTGAAATTAGAAAATGCGAATCCTCCAACTTTGTTCTTATTTTTCAAGCTTGTTTTGACTGTTCTAGATCCCTTGTATTCCATGTGAATTTTAGGATCATCTTGTCAATTATTGCAGAAAATGTCATTGGGATTCTGATGGGGATTGCATTGAATCTGTAGATCAATTTGGAGAGTATTGCCATCTTAATAATATTAAGTCTTCCAAACCATGAACACAAGATATGTGAATTTTAGGATCATCTTGTCAATTATTGCAGAAAATGTCATTGGGATTCTGATGGGGTTTGCATTGAATCTGTAGATCAATTTGGAGAGTATTGCCATCTTAATAATATTAAGTCTTCCAAACCATGAACACAAGATTTTTTTTCATTTATTTAAGTCTTTCTTTCAGCAGTTTTTTAGTTTTCAGTGTAAAAGTTTTGTACTTTTATTAAATTTATTGCTAAGTATTTTATTCTTTATGATGCTATTATAAATGGAATTATTTACTTAATTTCATTTTCAGATTGTTCATTGCTAGTGTATAATAATATAACTGATTTTTGTATATTGATCTTGCATTCTGTAGCCTTGCTGAGCTCATTTATTATCTCAAATAGTTTTCTTTTTCTTTCAGTGGATTCCTAGTTTTTATTATGTCTGTGAATCACTTTCCTTCTCCTTT